GGCCAAGACCATCACCACGGCCAAGACCTTCACCACGGCCAAGACCATCACCACGGCCTCTACCACCACCACGGCCAAGACCATCACCACGGCCAAGACCACCACCACGGCCTCTTCTAAGACCAAGATGACTCCCTCTTTGTTGCCTAGTTCCTCGTTGGCTTGTTTGATTTGAGTGGTTTGGCACTCCACCACTTGTTTGACTTGGTTGGCTACCCCTTGGTTCACTTGGTTGGCTATCATTTGTTTGGCTTGTGCTTGCACCATTTTTCTTTGATCTCTTTCTTGGTTTGGGACAAGTTCTTGTGTTGTGTCCCCCATTACTGCAGCCCCCACAACGGGATTGCTCACGAGGCTCTTGGAATTGGCCGGTGCCGTATTCTCCACCACCACCACGGCCCCATCCGTCCATGTCACCTCTAAGATGCTTTGTCTTACGTCTTCCCCGTCTAACGATCTTCAATTCCGGGTCCGGCCATAGTTGAACTCCATGATACTCCAGCCATTGTGATTGGTCCAAGTATGGCTGGAACCGTGGAGTCCATGTATTGTTTACCGTCATGATTGAGAACTCGGACTCCCTCACGGTAAGAGGGTGATTGACGTCCACATTCCTAACCCGGGATGCATTTAACAAGTGCGAGCATGGGAGATGAAGCAAAGACGGCCTCATGCAGCTGCAATCACACCGTGTTAGGGAGACCTTGAAAGCCCGGCCTCCGTGTTGGTGGCCATCGTTTGTGGTTCCTCCGGGCTCTTTCACCTCATACTTCCACTCGTTGTCGTCATATAGTACAGCTTCTTCGGAGTCTGCCTTTCGTGATTGAAATTCCAACCATTCTTCGACCTTTGGTGGGAAATTGTACTTGTGCTTATCCTTGTTCTCACCAGCAATCTACTTATCAGTCTCCATTGAGTGCTTTAAAAAGTATTCATTCAACTTGTCAAATGTGTATTGAACTATTGCCGTCACGGGTAATGCACGTACACCCTTGAGCACCTTATTGAAGCATTCTGCCATATTGCTTGTCATTTGACCGTACCTCCGGCCATCTTCATCGAAAGCACGTGCCCACATATTCCTTTCGGCAATGTTCTTATTCAGAAACTCCTGACAGCCGGGGTCAAGTTTCTTGTGTCTGAGCAATGCATTGAACAATGTGGAAAACCACTTGTTGGTGAAAGCGAGACAACAATCCTGAAGATCATCGGCCAACTCCTTGATACCACATGCCCTATAGAAGTTTGCACAAAAGTGCCTCATGCACCATCGATGATGCAACTTTGTATGTCCGGGAATGTCAACCACCACCGCATTTAGAATTCCAGGATGGCGATCCGATATGACACAAATTTCCCTTTCAGCAGGTAATACCCTTGTTCTCAGTTGACGCAAGAACCACTCCCAGTTATCATTGTTCTCCACCTCAACCAAAGCAAAATCCAAAGGCAACACCCGGTTATTGGCATCACTTGCTATTGCAACCAATAAAGTGCCCTTGTATTGTCCGGTCAAGAACGTGCCATCAATGGCGATGACGGGCCGACAATGCTCAAAAGCCCTCACGCATTGCTCAAAGGCCCAAAATGCACGGCCAAATACTCAGACGGTCCTTCCGTTATGAATCAATGTTTGGTGCCCATGAGGCTCAACCACGCGAACCATGCCTGGGTTTGTGGTGGCCATAGCTAACAACAACCTAGGGAGTCGGTTGTATGCTTCCTCCCAATTGCCATACAACATCTTGAATGCGGCTTGCTTCGCCTTCCATGCCTTGTCGTACTTCACCTTGTAATGAAAGATGGCTTTCACAAGGTCAATGACACTCTTGATGCTCATTGTTGGAAGTGTGGATATTTGGTTGGACAGCTTGTAAGCAATGAACTCGGACGTGAGTTGTCTGTGTTGTTGGTACACAAGCTTGCCATCCGCATTCTTGTGCCGGCACATGTGAGTTGGTAGACAACTCACTATGCGCCAAGTGGGACCTCCTTTCCATGGCCTTGCACGCACAATCCATGGACATGTTGGCACTTCACATTTGACCGTGTAACGCACATTCACATCCGAGTTGGCCACTTTATGTGGACGATAATGTGTAACCGAGTAGTTGTCGAGCCACATCTTCAATTCCAAGAAGGATTGAAACTCACAACCGGGATATATCCCGTTCTTGCCGTCTTCCAAATCACGGTGAGAACTTGGCCTAGCTCCAAGAGATATGCATTTTCCACCATCCACAACGGCTTCATCCGCGAGACTAAGATCCTTGAACAATGGTGTCTTGTGATCCCGCCCGAATACCTTCTTGAATGCTTCGGCCTCCTTCGGTGTGAACCCCTCCTCATCAACTTCTTCATCAGGACCATCGTCATCCGAGTCCGATGCATATGCACGGGAAAAAGGGATGGATTGGTCCATTGTCTCTTACACATGATATTGGTCGAGATCACCCACATTGTTGTCATGGAGGTCAACTTCGTTGTCATCCTCCTCGTACTCATCATTCTCCTCTTCAAAACCTTCATTTTGGTTGTTTGGAGTCGGGCTCAATGTTGGCCAATCTTCTTGCGTGAATTGAGGTTCACTCATTTGATCTTGGTTCATGGGTGGGGGAGTGCTAGCAACCAACGGGGAGGGGTTTCGGTTCAAGTCTAAATTCAAAGTAGACTCAACCTTCTTTGAGGCAAATAACTCAAGAGCCTTGTCTAGAGATTCCGCAACCGTCTCCTTGTATGCAACCCAACGTTGCTCGGAGTTCACACGCATTGTCTTCCAACGGATGTGCATTCCTAAACCAACATTATGCCTTCCCTCGAACTCAACAACGTCACTTGGGTCCATCCAATTCAAATCTTTCCTCACTTGTTTCAAAAGCTCCGCATAGCTAGGACTACTCTCAAACACCATGTCAAGCTCATCCGGGTCCGTCTCAACATTGCCTTTCAAAAAGGCCTCTTTATCCACATGATGAACATAAACACATGTTCTCCCCATCCCTACAATAATCAAAAACACACATATATCAAGTAAATACTTAAGAAAAATATTTGCACACATATGCCCTAACATATATATGAATTAATAACCCTAACCCCCACATAACAATAACCACAACCCTAACACCAACATAACCCTAACACCAACATCAAACACACATAACCCTAACCCTAGCATACTATGGAAGCCTAAACAACCCAAATTAGCAAAGAAATATAACATCATTCAACACAAATTTCCAAATCCTATCAAAATCTAGGGTTTCCCCAAACTAGCAAGATTTGAGCAAATGTGACAATTCCTATGGATGAAAACGAGGGGATCGGAGGAGATTACCTTAAGGGAGGGGTTGGCTTCAAAATCCACGGTGTGTGGCGGATTTGCAAGATTTGAGAAGGATTTGAGAGGGGGGAGAGGGGAAGAGAGGAGGGCCGCAAGTCTAAGGGTTTGGGTCGGGTGGGGGTGTGTGGGGTGGGGGTGGGAGGGGAGAGAGGGTGGGGCCAGCCCAAGTGGAACACAGACTGTGCAGCGCCCAAGAGCTAGGCGCTGCACATTACAGGTGTGTGGCGCCTAGATCTTAGGCGTTGCACAGATGCGTGTGGGGCCGCAACTGGACCAGGGCTGCCACGCTGGCAGGATGTGCGACGGCTAAGGGAAGGGCGCTGCACAGTAGGGTGCGGCGCCCGGATGTCGGGCGCCACACCAAGGGGTCAGCAGAGTGAAATTTTTTCGTGACCAGGTCAGTTTGTGATTTGATTCCTGGCTGAGGTCAAATATGTGATTTCTGCCTCTGTTCTGACTGTTGCTGTTTTCTTTGCCTGCGTTTGCTTCATCCATTCCACGTCCTTGGTTCTAACTGTTGGCGTGTGCAACTGATTGCAGGAACTTGATGGGCCCGAGGCCAGGGTGGCCGACTACTTCGACGTGATTGCAGGGACGAGCACCGGCGGGCTGGTGACCGCCATGCTCACCGCCCCTAATGCCGACGGCCGCCCGCTCTTCGCCGCCAAAGACATCAACGCCTTCTACCTGGAGCACTGCCCAAAGATCTTCCCTCGCGTCAAGCGCGGGCCTCTCGGCTTGCTGAAGAGCATCAAGGGGCCCAAGTACAACGGCAAATATCTGCACTCCGTCGTGCGAAAGCTGCTCGGGGAGACACGCGTGAGTCAAGCCTTGCAGAACATCGTCGTCCCTGCCTTCGACATCAAGCTGCTGCAGCCAATCATCTTCTCCAGATACGACGTAAGTTCTTCCCCCTCCACTCCAAATAAACGTGTTCCCTCGTTCATGTATTACATGTATGTGTGTTGCCTGAGTACGTCGCAGTAACGTCGATCACTACATCTTGTGTGTGCAGGCTCAAAGCGACGTCTCCAAAGACGCCCTCCTCTCCGACGTGTGCATCAGCACGTCCGCCGCGCCCACCTACCTGCCCGGCCACCACTTCGAGACCACGGACAGGCACAGCAAGCCACGCGCATTCAATCTGATCGACGGCGGCGTCGCGGCAAACAACCCGACGCTGCTGGCCATGACCCACGTCAGCAAGCAGATCCTCATGGGCAACAATGATTTCTTCCCCATCAAGCCGGCCGACTATGGGAAGTTCCTCATCCTCTCCCTCGGCACCGGGTCGGCCAAGCTCGCGGACAAGTTCGATGCAGCCCAGTGCAGCAAGTGGGGCATCTTCGGGTGGCTCTACAACAAAGGTGTGTCGCCGCTCATCGATAGCTTTTGTCAGGCAAGCGCTCACCTTGTGGACATCCACGCATCCGTGCTCTTTCAGGCGCTGCATTGCGAGAGGCGCTACCTTCGCATCCAGGATGACGATCTCAAGGGGAACACCTGCTCCGTCGACGTGGCCACGCCAGAGAACTTGAACATGCTTGTCGACGTCGGCAAGGCACTACTGAAGAAACAGGTGTGCAGAGTGGACGTCGAGACCGGAAAAAGCGTGCCGGACTTGAAGAGGGGCACCAACGAGGAAGAGCTGATCCATTTCGCCCGAATGCTGTCGCATGAACGCAAATCCAGGCTCCAAAAGAAGCAGAGCAGCGCTGCAAAGTAAACCTTGGCTGGGATCTAGGATTTGAGGCTAGCTAGGATGTACATGCATGCCAGATGATATGAACTGTTGGTGTGGTATGTACTGATCTTCCCCATGTATATATACATGTACCGAGACAGAGAAGGTGTGTCTGGATATTCTTTTACATTTATCCATATGCAACTTGATGATGAATTTACTTTTTGAGAAAAACGAGTAGAAAACTAGTCAATATGTGCATTACATTCAGAATGCATGAGCTCACAAGGTTCACAAAGTTCAGCTAGTTTGCAAGCATTGAGCAATCCATTTCCGAAACCTTGACCAGAATCAGTGATGAAAGAGGCGTCGGTGTTCAGTTTAACTAACTATCCCTGCATCGTAAACAAATGCTTAGTTTCCACTGCAACTTTTCACATATGGAGTCTCCTTTTGTATTTCATCAGTATAAATGATACACACAACTTTGTCATTTCCCCCACAAACTAATACATTTATGTAACTGCAAACTCTCCAATTTCTTTCTAGGAGTAATTGCCACGTATAGATATATATACTGTAAACTATGCTGGGGCAGCAATGGCTCCCTAAAACCATGAGCACAATTCCCAGACTGTACAACATCTTAACAGTGGACATTCCAAATTTCCATTTCCAGCAGAGGAATAAGCAAGGATATAAATTTTGGGAAATATATACTTCTAACTAAGTGGGTGCTTATCTCCAAGCTATTGCTCCTTTCCAGAACTCTCCTTAATCTTCTCGACAATATGCCGCGTCTTTTCTTCCAATTTGCCGCTCATCTTCCTCCCCAAACCGATCACCGCAGCTCGCTGGCTGCCTTTCCTCTTTAGGTCATACTCCCCAGGAGAAGCAGAGGATGACAATGGCGGCCGCCGATGCCCAGCAGGTATCACCGCTACTAACTGAAGAGAAGAGCCCACTGCTGCATTTTCAGAAGCATCTTCCTCGAATTCCCTGGTGCTCAGCAGCGGCGCCATCAACTGGTTAGAAGGTTCAGCTTCTGAAGGTACGGAAGAACCAGAGCTGGTTGATGCTTCTGTTGTGGATTCTTGGTTAGGCCAACGAGTGGATGTCACCTTCTTCAGCGCTTCGTCGTCGCTTCTAGTTGAAGGAGCAGGTGGACTTGATTTGCTAGCTTCGCTGTTGGAACTGACCTTTAGTGCGGCAACATCATCAGGCTGGAGCTTACCCATGTCTGAACTATGACTGCTTGCTGCCTCGCCGTGTTCACGATTCAGCCATATAAAAGGTGCAGCTCTGCGAGGCACCCAATCATCCTTCTCTGATATCATCCATGACATGGGAATACTTTCACAATTCGGCAGTACCAAGCTTTGGTGAAGCGAAGCCTGTAGGGTAGGGCACGTTCCGGAATTAAGCATACAGGTTTCACAAATAAGTAACACGGTGATCAGATCAAGTAAGTTGAAGGGACACCTTGATTCTGTTGCTGATAAGCGAAGCGATGTGGCTGTTGGTGATCTTCCTGTCCCCAACTGAAGACTCCAATTCCCACACAAGCTCTGGCATTGATGTAAATCCATACCAGATTTGATCTGAGGGAGGAGGCTTTATATGCATGCGCATTGTCCCACGAATAGAAGTTACTTTAATTGCCAACGAAAACGGCACCTTTTGCAAGAATAAAGAACAGATTACATGTCTCAGAACTTCCTGGCTGTACTAGTAACATACATTTAACTTTCTACAGCTTTTTTATCTAAAGTTTGATCTCTGATTTGAAGTGTTTGAACATGCCAGGCATACCTTTTCCTAATAGTGTACCTCGCAAAGAGGCAAAGGAAAGTATTGTGGTAAAACTAGGCAACATATGAATGGAGGGACAGGAAAAACTCTTCACTAAAAATAGCCAGACTAGATTTTGATGTGCAACCCTTAGTTCAGTGTTCACTACCAATTGGATGTCTAAAGCGTAAACAGTACAGTACTGCAGTCTGTGTAATAAGAAAGTAGAACAAGAACTAACCTGAGAGACATGGTCAGTGATTGAATGCAAGATAGTTTTCCACCTTGATGTCCTCCCAGTGCTTTTTGAGCGCCTTAACACATCTGGTACAAAAGATAAACAAGCACTCTGAGTCACTGATTACGCATCAAGACGACTGCAAATTCACAAGTTTCACTCATTGCAGTAAGTTTTGAGTTATAAGTACTGAATGAAGAAACTTGCTTTCGACGGGTCAAAGGAAAGAACATAAGCAATTAGGATATGATTATGCACAGCATGCAGTTATGATGAAAGGAAGTCAAGAAGCACATGAACATGAGCCGAAATATGTGAACATAACAATTCAAACACTAGTTTTGGGAGGAGTTTGATACATCATTTACTATGAGCTTAGTTATTTGCATAGAAAACGAAATGATCATTCTGAGAAATAATAAGCAATAGAAAGAAAATATATGGAAAATTCAAACAAACCTGCCTCATCTTCATCTTCCACTACAGAAGCCAAAAGTTGCGAAGGTTCAAATTGGTTGCCATTAGTATCCGCTTCGGGAGTAGCTCTCATTATGTCTTTTTTCAGCTCTGGTTCCTGAACCTCAAGTCTTGCTTCAGCATTCAGTATTATTTCACTACAATATTCAAAATCAAATTCGAAAGCCCACAGTTCATTGAGATCCCTTGGGACGACTCTCATCCTACGCAAATATGGTGGAAGTTCCCCAAGACTGAAATCAGTAAGTGTAATTTCACCTATATAGGAGGCAGTTCTCATGTTTGACAATTTTCGCTGAAAAACAAGAAAACTAACCATTAGCAAACATGTTTGAAGGATGAGTTTACTTGTTTTAAATGTAAGCATTATCTAACCTGAAGGCGTGTTTTAATGGATTTACTTATATCATCACTCATTTTAGCATCAAAAAACAACCGAGAGATTAGGAGGTTCCAACAAAGTGTGCCTTCGTCAGTAAACTTTTCATCTACATTTGTTTCAGGAGAATCTGAGAACCTGTTGCTGTAACTGAAATCAGAACTAGGCGTACTGGGTTGCTTTATGTCTAGTAATGATGAACTACTGCTTGACCTTTCTTCTTGTGCATCAATCAGTGCGGCACCATTGTAGCTGCGTGTTTTTTGGAGCGTCTTTCTTTCTGCTTGTGCTGAGGTTGAGCTTGTTCTAGTCAACTGGGGAGCTTTTATAGATGCCTTCCTAGCCAACTTCTTAAGGAAAAGGCGCATTTTTGACGACCCATCAGACTTTACTGCCTTGTCCATAATTTCACGATCCTCAGCAGAAAGTGCAGTTGATTTCAGGAAACAAGGGTATCCAGCGTGTAAAGAGGATATGTAACTTCTGAACTCTTCACTCAACCTGGTATGCAATTTCAGTTTCTCCTTGTCTGTAGAAGATGCAAGACGAAGTGCTTTACACCATGATTCTTTCTCCCAAGAGGTGTCCACATAAAGATAGCATACCTTGCTCCGCTTGCAAATCTCAGATCCCTTGCTTTCTAGTTTTATCGGATACCTCTTAGACCTGAAAGAAAATGGATAAATATAAATGGTAGTTACATTGAAACTAGAGTGCATATGCAAAGTGTATTGCAGCATCCACATTAAATAGGCAAAGTAGGAAAATATAGTCAATTTTTAAGAACATCTAACTTGAAAAATAAAGCATTCTTAGTCTTTAGCTGAATCCAAAAATATAAGCATGCTTATCTACCCTACCATATATCAAGGCTATGATGTTGGTAACACAGGTCACACACTGAACATAAATATGAGTTAATGCGGCACAAAAACGTTGAAGATCAGTGTATGATAACAAATTTTATATGCACAAACCATTTACGCGACGGTAGGTTAGAAGCAGAAACAGCAAGAACAGTGCAATCCAGAAGCCCAATAGTTATCTGAGAACCATCGGAACCTGTCAAGACAAGCGAGTGGCCTTGAATTTTAGCCCGCATCCTTATCGGAGAAACCTCGACGATGTTCTTTTTATCCTTCACGCCTTTCTGAACCCCAGTTGGTGGTAAGCGGTTGCCGTTTCTAACTTTTGGCACCTTTCCTGGCTCTAACATCCAGAGAAAACCCTGCAACAAGTATGGCCGTCAGGTGAAATGATCCAAATTGCAACCATGCCTGGCTCGTAGCAACACCAGGCACAGCGTGTGAGAGTTTGTCTAATGGCAGTACGGCTAGTTGATGGCCCAGTAGCAAAATAAAATAAAATAACGAAGGTTATTGCTTTGCATTATATACAACAGAACAGAGAGAAGGTGCAAATTCAGGTGAACAGATTGCTTCTCCAATCAGCACCAGGAATTCAGTCACAACAACTAGAGAAAGACGACAGAATCTGGTTCCAAGAAATTTTCTGCATAAAGTAAACGAACTTTCTTTCCCGCAAGCTATTGATAGACCCCCATTTGCTTGACCTGCCTACTCCACAGGATTGCAATTGCGACGCAGGAAAACAGGAGAAGGAAATCGGTAGAAATGGGAGGCTACGCGGGGCAGTTTCAAGTTTATTGACCTGCTTCTCGGCGGGGAACGGCCGGTCGCCGGAGAGCTCGGTGGCGGCGGCCTCCGGAGGCGGAGGAGGCCTTGGCCCGCGGCGGCGCAGGGCGCGGACGGCCCAGAGAAGCGCCGCCCCCTCCGCGAGGGCGAGCGCGAGGAGGCCGAGGAGGAAGCCCGAGAGGAAGATCGCCACCGCCATGGGCGACGACGATGACGAGGAGACCTTGCCAGGCGAGGCTGCTCTGCAGCGCACAAGAGAACATAGGAGAGAAGAAGAGGCGGAGAAGAAGTCAGCATTGTCAATGGAGGGGCGGACGTGCAGGGGCCCACCTGTCACGGTCCCTGCTGCTTTATGACCTTTTGTGAAAGGAGGAGGATCTTTTTGTGCCGAGATGCTAAACGGTGAACGCGCTTCTCACCTCACGGCGTACACACAATGATTTGGAAGTCATTGTCATGGCATACAAAATAATTGTATCTGTGTAAACTTATTTTCTACTCC